AGGCATATTCACTAACTTGATCTGTGGTGTAACTATGCCGATAATGTACATAACTTCATAGTATAATATATATGTATGATTTAAGAGAAAATATACTATTAGTGTCGTATCGATAGAGTTACACAGGATGAAATGTGAGTTGATTTTTAATGATTAATATTGTGTGTATATAAAAATATAAACGTTGTTAGTTCAATTTGCCGTACGATGATGATATGAGTTTTAGGCTGTAACCCTGCAATTTGTTAATATGAATGTAATATCCTGTTTTAAGAATGGGATATTATGTACTTAAACATGTACGTGTATGAGTTGCTTCTGAAGACACAACAGTATGTAAAAAAAAAAATATTACATTGTTCGTATAGCATGCCTGACATTTTCCGCATTATCGACGGTATCTTTTCATTCGCTTGCAGAATCTTTTTCGGTGCCAAGTCATTTACATGTGAAATGTTTGCTTGAGTTTCACTTGCTTTGGCATCGGTACAATCGGCTCTTTTTTCTTTCATATAATTCTTTTGGTTTTTTTATTATAATGTTTTCGTGTAGCCCGAAAATAGTGCTCTCGAGAAAGCAAAATACATTGGCCGAATTTAATCAAAACCAACCCTCGGGGTCGCGTCATAATGGCGGAGCTTGGGTGGTTTTATGTACTAACCGGTATGTACCAGTACACGGCGACATCGTTTTCCGGCTTTCTTTGACCATCAACGTTTTACCAGAAAATTAATATTGTTGTACATACAAGTTGTGTAAAAAATATATTTCATATTGTCTGTCAGCCCCTTGTATTTTTACAACCGGAGATTATCCTCGAGTGCTTATGATTTATTACATGCTATAATAGTAAATCATTTTTGTAGAACGGTAAAATATTTTATCAAATAGTCAAGGATAATACGTTTTTGTTGAATGGAATATTACTACTCTTATTTTACTTATAATCAGGGTATCTATATTACTTAATAGTTAAACGTAAAGTACAATTGTTATGATGTCTCATGTATAAAAAATAATAGAATATGACTGGCTTTTAAGGATTTTGATGATTATCGCAGTAAGTCCTAACTCGACATTATTTATGAGACAGCCTTTACTATAGAAGCTTAATTTTATGGCGTACACACACACACTGCCAAAATCGATAAGGCGTATAAAGTTTTTAAAAGTTTATAGTGGATAAAAAGAATTTCTCAACTTCTGTAAATAGACAAAAAAAAAACTATAATGTTATACTTTATTACGTTCCTCGGGTTCTTGATAAAACGATGAAGACATATACGGCAACCGAACGGCTTATAGAATGCATTTTATAATTATAAATTCATATCTATATCTATTCAAATTCTTTGGGTTAGTAAAAGACAATAAAAAGCATTAAACAAATCAAATTATACATTTTTCATTCTAATATATATATACAATACAGCCTAGTTTACAAACCGTTATATTTTGTTATTTATATATGATATGTGTTGTATTTATTAAAGAAATATATATCATATAAGATAAAAGATACTTAAGCATATCTTCTTAAGGTTTTGTACTCGATAAGGCCAACTTATTCTGTCCAGTATAAAATTTAGGTTTAAAATTAATTTCTTTTATGTGTGCGAGTATAAGTACAAATTATTTTTAATTCTTGAGCTATATATTTATATATAATCACCTCGTGATTCTTTTATCATGAACCAGTCAATATCTCACTGGGTTTGATTAATAATTTTTTTTTATGATGTTTTTATAAAATGCGATTTCAATTTTTACAATTTTTTTTTACCCCCCACCCAATTAGTTTTTTTGTTAGCAACTTTTGAAACTTAAATGGTAACGTATATATTTTATTAACTTTTTAAATTGAGAATAATGCACTAAAAATGTTGACTGGTCGATAACCAGTTTCAGACAACTATTTTTAAAGTTATAAAAGTTTAAAAGTTAGAATGGGAGGGGAAGTGCGGTTGGGAAATGCGTGCAGATAAAAATATAAATACACTCCACCTTTCCTCCTGCCCTAAACTTGAAGTTGGGAGGCGAGTAAAACCAAAAAAAAAATTGTGAAAAATTGAGATCACATTTTATAAAAACATTATAAAAAAAAAAATTATTAATTAAACCCAGTGAGATATTAACTGGTTCATGATAAAAGAATCACCGTGTATAATAATTTATTGGTTTGATAATACATTATAATTGTAATATAGAGTTTTGTTTATAAAAAAAACTGTAATAAGTTGTAGTTTTAATATCTAAATGTATTAGCATTTTTTTAAAAATAAAACGAAGCGAGCTACCATCAAAGACGATTAGCACAGTATCCTATATAATATTGAACACAATAATACTATAGTAGTATTCCACTATGTATTTTTCATATTAATGATAATAATAATAATCATGAAGTAGTAAACAACCGAAATAGTTTGTGAGAGAATATATAGTTGTATTAAAAAAAATGGCGGAAACGAGAAAGTCTATTTTGTTATCTGATAGTCGTGTATAACGCGCGTATATAGTAACTTTTCAAAACATACGACTGAAAGTTTACAAAATGCTTTAAAAATCTTCATATTTTTTTTTTAGAGAGATATTCTACAGGATAACCGTATGTACGTAGTTCCAGGATCTATATTAATCTGAAAGGTTATTAATATTCAGCTATTCGTTTTGGATTTTGCCAGTGTTGGTTTCGGTAATAAAATATTTGCACTCAAGTAACACAGCGTGTACGGGTTATATAATTTTGTTACACGAAATGAGTACATAGGTAGGTAGGTAGGTACTACCGGTAACGCGTTGTAGTCGAAAACTACATATTTTTCGACGTCGCGTGCGTGACCCGATTGCTATTGCCGTCTCGGTACCACAGGCTTTTCCTTGTCGCGTGTGTGCTTTGTGACGGGACGTAATTTCGTGTCTAATTTGGCTTTTTCGTCCCTTCCTATCTTCCTTTTTTTCTCCCTCTCCCCTCCCCTCTTTAATACAACAATTATTATGCCACAATATCGTGGCCAAAGTAACCGAGGGCAATAAGTATAGAGAGATTTGCCGTTGCTGCGCCACTAAGGGATTACTACCGGTGGCCGGTGTGAGCGACATCCTGGGCGTAATATTAGCAAAATACACGGTTAGGAGATAGATACATACGCGGTGGTGTAAGAAAAAACTAGCAGTGTCCGAGGATCGTGACGTTTGTTCTAAACAACCGCATTTTCCCGTTGTACGCCCAATAATATATATGAGTTTTGTGATTTTAATGCCTCTCGAGGTCTCCGATCGTGCGAAACCAGCAAATATATATATCGTACATAGCGGTTAAGAAAGTGATAAAAAAAAAATCACACAGAGTGGTAGTGTATTATCCGTATATTCGTGTCGCCACGCTAAAAGGAATCTAACTCGCTGGTGAACGCGCTTTTACTGATACAATGGAATATTTTGCTGTTTATTGGATAATATTTGTTGTCTAACAACAAATTTCTAAACCAGTGGCGCCCTTTTCAGCCACAACTGATAACAACCGATTTCCTTTTCGGTCATTTTAATCTAAACACTAAATCAATAATAACATATTTGGAAACCAAGTACAAAGTACTTCTCGAACAAAGTAGACAAAAATTAAATACAAATTACAATATGAATATTTACTTGGAATTATAATATATATATATATATAGATTTTTATCATTGTAGCCTAATTATATTATCATTAGTGGTTAAGTGTTTAAATTGAAATGACCGAAAATGGAAACGGTTGTTATCAGTTTTGGTCGTATAAGTTTCCGTTTGTCTAAACATTATCGCCGTCTTTGTAACCAAAGTTATAAAGGCTTCGCAACGATGTTATAATATACAAATTAAATTCAATTTGTACATATGTAAAATATAGACCCGTGATTTTTCATTAGGATTTCGGTGAGATTTTGCAAAGGATAATCATTTTTATTAATCTTTTCCGTCTGCGTTTCAAGATAAAAAAATAAATTATTTTCTGTTTGTAGGAACATTTTTAAAATACCCTAAAAGATTTCTAGAGGATTTAACAAAAAGCCTGTTGTTATTAAAATGTAATCCATTGTTTGACAAAAACGAATAATACATACATTATTTTTCATAGCTAATATATACTACCCCTGCATATATTATTATATAAACGCGACATTTGTTATCGTTTGAATTTTTAATAAGAATTCGGGCTATATTCTACTAGCGATTTCATTTTAAATATATTATTCCAGTTTCATGTTATTTTAAGGATGATTTATTTGATACGCAAGAAGACCGCGTTATTCGTTATGGTTATTTTCTAAATAAAATCATAATTTTTCATTTGAAAACTCCCAGCCCAATTCTGTATTCTCAGCTACACCTATGTACATCATGACACCACGGATAGGCAAAGGCTGAATAGCTACGTATGTCCTTTTGTCTGGAGTCCAATGGCACTGATAAGGCGACGGCGTGCCTGTTTATAAAGTTATTCCGATGCTTTAGTACGTTTAGGTCTCTACCCTGTAACGATTTAGCTCTCGATATCTATTTTTCGCATATAGCGCGTTTTGTTTAACTCAAAATTAAAAAAAAAAAGTTAAGTCAGCTAAGAAAAGAAGCGATCTCTATTGTAATAACTGGAAAAAACACATAAATAAAAAAAAATCATTTTTTGTACTCCATCCAGTAAAAATTAAATTCTATTAACCAAGTTTTTTGGTTTTAGTTTAAAACAACTTATTACCCTCCATGTCGCGTATAAGCGGAATCATGGTTTTGGCCACTTCCACCAACTCGGTAAAATCTGCTGCAAAATCCGTAGACATGGTATAAAAGTATATTACATAATATTATATTGTTTGTAATTTCAGTTGTCAATTAAACTAAAGAAATAAATTTGATAAAATAACTCGTTGTTTCTTGACACAAACTATGTATAAATTTTAGTTGATTTAGCCAGAAATAAATTATTAAATCGGTTATTTATTTGTCTTTTTTTGTTTCAGTGTCGGAACACAGCAAGATATTTTCCGGAAATAATACACACACTGATTACTTCAAGACATTGCTGAGAGATGGCAACAACATTCTGGTTGGAGCAAGGTAATATGTATATGTTTTTATTATCTCGTTAGTTAAAAAATGTCTATTGTAAATATACATTATAATATTATCTTATATATATTTTTTTTATTAAAACCTCTTTATTTCAATAGCGAAGTGAAAAAAGTTAGTCTTTACTTCTATAATCCATTTATCGTTTAAAAGCTTCTATGCGGTTGTGTTTAGTTGCACGTGTTGTTTTGATTGTAGCTATTTGCATTCAATTTTTTTTTCACCGTGGTAAACGTGTATTGTGCTGCTAAAAGAGAAGAAGGTATAATTGCGTTTGCAAAAAAAAGAACATAAGAGCTTTTGTCTATGTTCACTAACGTAGTAAAGGAAAATACTCAATGTATAGTTAAACGAAATTGACAAGAAATGTGCGGTGACCCACGTGTTTTTAATTGATGTATTTAAAGCGCAAATACTTTAAAGTACTCCTTTGACATTTTTTTAACAAAAAGAAATCGCTACCTAGCATTCCGTACCTTTCAAGTTGAATGCAAGTTAAATATAACAGCTTTAGTTTATTTTCATTTTTTATTAATTAATAATTATTAATTGCAAAATGACAGAATTAAAGATATAACGTTTTGCACATTATTCCATTTGATTTGTGATTTTGAATGAGTCTGGGCGATTTTTTCTAATTATACAATATTATCGTATTAAATACTGTTATTATGTGTTTTGAAAATTCAGTTGATACTTAATACTAAGGTAATTTGCTTCTTTTGGTAAATTTTATAATAATTGACCCCTACGTTTGATTGTATCGAAAAATGTCCCAAATGAATCGATGATCCACGTTCTCGTGAACAAAGATTACTTGGCTTTTTACACGATTATTATATGCCGGCAATAATGCGCGAGATTTTGTTTCATCCGTTTTGATACTATAGCTAAGCCAGCTAAATCTTCTTGAACCAAAACGTGACTCTCGTGTGGATGTCGTAAAAATGCAATATCTTTAACGGTCTTCGTTAGGAATATACACATCTTGTATGTACAATACAGTGCCTTCAATACAGAGGCCTATAGCCTCAGTGCCATGGAAGAAATCCAATAGACTGTTGTAAAAAAACATTTTTTATGACCGGAATTATTGATGGAGTACCAAAATTTGCACCTGAAGCCTATGAACACAATTCTAGTAATTTCTTTTGGGCGCTGAGCCTTGAAGAGCTGTTTGAAATGCATGGCGTACCCGAATAATCCGACCAAATAATCGCCGCCACTATATCTGTGTTATATGTGACAACGCGTTTTAGTCGATTTCCGATCCCGGCTTATATGTTGACCGTTATTATTGCTCGATTTCATCGTCGGGGTAGGATCATCGAAAGCCTTTGAAAGCCCCACAATTGTTCTGGCGTGTATGATACATGTCTGAAATTTTGAAATCCCAGACACGTATTTGGCGGTCAACTCAGATGGAAGGGTCCGTTTTCTGGGTAATTGGCTCTTACCGTATTTCTGCTATCCGATGTTCCCCGTGTTATATATTATATATATGAAATTCTCAGATCCATTAACGGTCTCGCGAAAATATCCGTAGGCAGTCCATCCACTAATTGCTTAACTGAGGGTCACGTCACTACCAATGAAAAGAGGATTTCAATGCATTTTGAAAAGTTAGCATTAAAAGATTAAACGAGAAACGGCCGCAATAAAAAGGGTCTTAAGTTGCCACTGAAATACGGGTAATAAATAATATACAATTGGAGGAAATCTCAAAATAATGGTCACTTTAATATATGTGTTCGCTTTTTAAACCCACATTCCTTAGGTTTTCCAAACAAGTCTCACAAGTGCTATTTCTTTTAACAAAAAATAATCCGTTTTCTCTCTTGGCTTTTAAGCAGATACTCTGGTTTGAACAAAAGGTGGATGGAAACTTCTACGTATCAGTTATGTATATAATACATAACTACATATGTATATATTATTCGATTCATAATTTTAAATTAGTTTATATATTCATGCATTATTTTCTATAATTTTGTAAAGGTAATAAGGTTTATATCAATAGTTCAAAATCACGAGGCAAGTTATTTAAATGCTCCTGTGATATATTAAATCTTAGGGGGTACAGATTTCCGGCTTAGAATGTTTGTGAAAATACGGTTTTTGAGCATCTACCGTGTTTTTATTTTAAGTCGATTAGTTATACATTTTAGCTTTTCAGTTGTATATTTTATTTTATGACTATTCAATTTCTGTTATCTACTTTATTTCTATCCGTTCTCGAAATCGGTAAATAATAAACTACATCATTTGTAAAAAAAAAAAATAAATAAATTTCATTGAGTTTATAATAGATGATAAAAGTTTAATAAAAATATGCAGTGTCAAAAAGTATAAATTATGCTATCATATTATTTTTGTAAATTGTAATTGTCACAATATTTCCAACAGTATACTTGTTATTGTTGTATCATTTTATACCGTGATCTCGTCTGCAGCTGATAGTCCGAATAGGTTTTTTTTTCTCTATTCGACCAACGTTCGTTTCAAAACAGACTCGAGAGCAAAATGTATTTTCACTTGGCAATAAAAGGTGCGACGAGGGCAACAACTTTGAGGGTGGTTGGGGATGTGTCTCGTTAGACCAAAAACAAATGAACCCTTCAGAGTACGGCACGTTTAACTTGTCGACGACTGCGGAAGTGGCGTGGATGATAAAATGAGCATAGGCCGACAAAAGTACATCTGGTTACAGCGACAAATGAACGGGACCATACTCGACCGTGTAACCGATTGAGGCATACTTCCCCTATAAGATATTTCCCCCTTTTCCACTATATGGTCAGGTAGTGACCGCTTAAAATGAAGAGGTCCCGGCAAACATTCAGGTGGACCGTTCACGATAGAAGAGCTTCCTTTTTCGAGATTGTCTATCGGATTTATTCAGACGGTGATCAATTAGCGTTTGGGTCGTATTATGGTAAAATAATTGTTTCAATGCGATCGTATTGTTGTCAATAACTTATTACGTTGAAAATAACTAAATAGGTAAGAAACGACAATTTGTTTGTAACGCACAAGGAGGTTTACGTTATTTTGTTAGAAAAGGCACTAGTAAAGAAAATCAAAGGGAAAGATCGAGGGATCTCACGAATACGAAATTTTTCCACTTTAAATAATTATTAATAATGTCAAAAGGATAGTGTGACAGTCAATAAAGGTCATATTATTGCCGTTAGCAGACATTTAAGAAATGACTATGCAATAAAAACACAAATAAAATAGTATAATTTTAACCTAACTTAAACAAATTCATAATTTTTTCAATACAAAAAAAATGTTTTTTTCAATCTATTTCTGTAGGTTGTCATGCATTTTGATATTATATAAAAAAGAGTCAGGTAAAACGAAAATTAATTAGTATTCCATTGATTGAGAATTTGTCTATACAATTTATGTTCCTTAATTAGTTATTCGGTTTTTAAGTTACTCTTGGCTTCTAAAGTCTTTTCAAAACTGTTAATAACTTTTGTATCGATTCGTTTTCCCCGTTTTATATATTTACATATTATTTTAGCGCTGGATTAATTTATTCTAATAAAACTTTTAATTTTCTGTAATTTAAAATTATTTACATTTTTATCAGATTTTTATGATTTCGAGTAATTTTTAGAAACAATTATTATGTCATCTGGAATTTTCTCAATTATGTTTTTTTGGGAATATCATATGTTGGTATAAAGTTGAAAATTATGCAAGTGCTAAAAAAAATCATATTACATTAGAATTCATCGTTATGAGTGCCGTTTGCTAGTTATAGTTTAACTGTAGTTTACTGACGATTTCACGATATTAAAGAATTCTTTAAATGTAAACAAAATTCAGAGGGTGTATTAAAGAACGTTGTGAAGTATCCCTAAAATTCCATGTAATCGTTTTCATTTTCAATCCACATTACATAGTATTTAATAAATGTTTAATGGTATCAGAAATTTGATTAGAATTTCAATTCAGTGCATTCACTTTTTCCCTTAGCCTCGAGGCGTGGAAACGCCTGTCATTTCGTTTTACATTATTTAATAACTAGTCTAGTCTGTCAACCGACTATAGGGAGTGAAAATATTGGAGTACAATCAATATGGTCTCCTAAAAGGGTTTCGTGTCCATTGCTGTTGCCCCTTAGGGTTTTAGACGAATTTCACTTATAATTATTAAACCTGTGTATAATACAAACACACATGTTATGTATCGTATGCGTGCGGGTGTGTGCAATATTTTATTTGTTTTTGTAGTTTGGTCAGATTCGGATGGCTAGGGTTATTGATAGAAAAAGTGAAAATAACAATCTTACGAGCGATGGGAGGTCCCTTAGCAAATAAAATCCCCTTGTCCATTGCCAAACCTGTGTGGCCAATATTGGTTATATATGTGATGTGTCGTGGAGTAATATCTACCGAGAACTTTGGCGATTGCAAGGTCGGCTGCGGTAATTGGATCTCGTGGGAAAACTAGTTTTCAACAAAATATTGATTTTGAAAAGAAGGAAAAATGAATTTGCTTTAACCGAAAAAAATTATTTTATTTGACATTTAAGTAATTTCTAAATAATTAAATATTGTATGAATAATTTACAAAAGTACCTATATCGTATTAATATAAATATAGTATATTTAATAAAATCATATTGATTAATCGGCTTCTTTTCATATTTTACAACGATCAAGCAGTGTTTATATTTTCAAATGGAAACAGTTAGTTTAGGTAATTAATTAATGAATTTATCATAATATAAATTACAATTTATGATAAATTCTTCATTAATCAGGATAAAAATTTGAGCCGTTTTACAAATCACTTTTTTAAGTATCAGAATTATTTATGTTTAAAAACATGTCTTAAAGTTTACAATAACGCTAAAATTGATATATAATGCTATAAATTTTAACATAATATAAATAATTGTAGTCATGACAATAAAAAAATATTAAGATAAACTTGGTTGGGTTGAATATTGTGATAAATCTATAATCTATAACAGTGTACGAGAAAATATGCTGTTATGGTCTGATGATATTTACATTTACTAATAAAATATGTAAATATTAAGAACATTTTTTTAAAGAAAACTATCTATACTAACTTCTAATCTAACAAGTCGATTATCATAGTTTTTCAGTACATTTAAAGTTGCTATTTCTTCTACTAGACCTTTTCAGATGGGAGTTTGATTTGACGGGTTAGGATTACCGCAGTTGACTGTCAACTTAACGTTGTTCAAAAAGTTTGAGATCAGAGAAGGGACGAGGTGGCTAATTCTTTTAGTTTGCCGACACAGAAAAAGTATTTGCCACCGAATGTCGAACATGCCAAAAAAACTCTCTTAATCTTACTTGGTCACATCGTCTTAGAGTAAATATATAAGCAGGTTAGGTGTAAGTGTGTAACCTACCCTAACTATAGCGCGTTGTTGGTTGAATGGTTGGTGTGCTATTATTTTCGTTTTGATACATAGCCGAAAAAGTTTATTTTTTATTTTTTGATGCTCTGCTCAAAAGCTTCCAAAAGAAATATATTTACTAAATATCTGAAGTGAATTGTCAATCATTAAATGTATCGATGATTCCGATGATAATTTGTATTTATTATAGTAGTAATGCATGATTATTTAGAAATAATGATGTTAATTTTGTTATTTTTCTTTTGTTTACAGGAACGTCGTATACAATCTCAGTTTACCAGATCTAACAGAAAATCAGGTGAGGTTTTTTAAATTTATTATATTATAGCGGATATCGCGGACAAACCGTTTGTTAAAATATATTATAAACTTCACTACTCTAGGGTCGACATTTATATTTAACAACTTTAGTAACTTTAGTATTGGGTTCTTTTTTGCATCCAAATAAAATCGATTGAACTGTAAAAATCACATATTTTTTTCTAAGAAGACTTTTTAGTACTCTTGATTGCGATGACTTTATTTGCTCCAACCCCGTTATAACAACACTTAATTTCACGCTTGTCGTGTTTGCGAACGGCCAAATCGCGTGAACACAATACATATATTGCAGGCTACTACATATGAACTAGCTTTGTTGTATTCTTCTTAATGGGACAAATTATTAAAACACTTATTTATTAAGTTTGTATAGTAATCAACGGGCATAGTCTTTAAATTAATTAAATATAAAAAAATAGTTGGCAAATTGAATATTGTAAATCTCTATTTAAAATGAGTAAATTATTAACAAGTAACAACGTAAGAATGAAACCGGTAAATAAATACGAAAGACGTTTTTTGGCGAAACTGAGTGAAAACCATACGAAGTTGATTAGTAGCAAACTATTTACAATCAGTTTTTTGTTTTGTTGTTAATTTGTTTGAAATCAGTTGGCAAACTGTTCGTTATTAGGTACCAAAATAATATAAATTTATGATGTACAACAATATTTGTTTAACGCGAAGTTACAAGACTTTATGTATGCAATACATCAAATTCTTTAAGTACAAAAAATGCAAAAGTACATAAATACAAAGTAAACTTTTATATAAAAAACTGCTTATGAAACAAAAACTCACTGGTTGAATTGACTTGTTAATTAAATATTCTCCGTATTCTCTAGTACTGGTAACATTCTCTAATCAAAACAATATTATACAAATTCAAATTCCTAGTACAGTATAACAATCGTTTAAAATTTGGTTTATGGTTTACACAGTTTGTATATTTGTTGTTTCTATAACGCTACTTTGATATAAAACATAATTTCAATATAGATTTTTTCAGACAAGCGCTTAAGTTGTTTCTCTATTTTATCAGTAAATACACTTTTTTATACTCGTTGCGTAATTAAAATGGCAATGATTTCAAAAGATTGATATTAATTTTTTTTGTGTAATTTTCAGCAAAATTTGGGCCTATACTATTTTAGGAATATACAGTATTCGAAATATTAAAGGCAAAAATATTGTGACCTATTTTAATATGTCCACCTTCTTAATTAGGTAGTAAATTATATCGAAAACGAGGTTTTATAGTAAATGAACAACCTGCAATCTGTATACACATAGGTTGTATGTATAGTTGGTAAAATCTCCGACTATGAACGTGCCATAGTTCGTCTTCGGGTCCTAATCGTAAGTGCTGTGTCTAACTCGGATTACATCTCTAAGGAACCATATTATAGACACGTCATTTGCAAGATGAAAGGAAGATTCCATTATTGGGAGTTGGAAAAAATGCCAAATCTAACGTATCAACATAACGTTCGGGGCATACGGCAACATTGGATTGCTGAATGAACGCAGCTATACCACCGGGTGGTCGACGAGAAGAGGGTTGGTCGCCTGTTATCGATCGTCAGCGTTGGACAAAAAACATTGTACAGAGCGATTCACCAGAGACTGGCGTCGTACTTCCGGTTTAATGTGCACTGCCATCCAGATCCTAAATTCGTCTATTACAATAACACCGTCTAAGCGCGCACGACCGACTTTTGAAAACGAGCGCGTCGGTTGACTTTCCGGATTATTTACTCATTTTTGAAAATAATTCTATAAGGGGTGTTGTTTTTCTTTGTATTGTTTTAAGAGTGATGTTTCAAAAGGGTTCTCTAATAACACGACGGCATACAGAGGGAATATTATTGTTTTCGCACCGCAGTTTTGAATGTATTCGCTGTAGACAATTATTATTATTATTATTACAACGCGCGTGCCGTTTATTGGTGTCTCTGAAAATAATACGAGTACGGACAATGCTGCTGTGGTCCCTTTTTTTTTTAGTGAGAGAGAATGAGAGAACAAATTGGTCATGCGGAAAGGTTGGTCTGTGCCGCGATTATCGGCAGGCGCAAGGCTAACTGCTGGGCAATGTCGTTCTCACTACACTGTTTTTGTTGTCGTCCGGTTTTATACGATCGTCGGCCATTTTTGTTTTTATGCCCGAGCTTTTATCAGTGCGGTCCGGCGGTCCTTAAACCCGTTAACAGCGCTGTTGGATATTACAACGGGGCTCGGCTTTTTTTTTTTTGCAGTGTTCGTGCACATATTGTCGCGTGACGAAGTAATAACACTAAAAAAGGGGGAAAAAATCTTAAAATTTTAACACCGCTCATGGAATCGTTGGAATTGCTTACTTTAAAACTGATACAACCTAGTATCGGGTTTTAGTAGCCAGAACGGTTGCAGTGTAGTATTATTTCCAAGAGGAAGTAAACGACCTTACTATTATTTGAACGAAAGGGTATTTTTTAAATAAAAAAATTAATAACACAGTTTTTTTTTATGTTTTATTATATTACAGTGGAACATGATGTCTTCAATATTGGTTGAAATACGTCAGTTTGTACCTAGAGTTGCATCTGATGTTTTTTAGGTACAATAAGTTACTGAAGATGGAATGGGTATTGATTAATATTGGATTTAGTTAAAATTACAACATAATATCATTTCTATTTTTCGAGCACAGTTTTAAGTCTTAAGATCTGAAAATTGGAATGAAAGGAGATCTAGAGTGGGATTATAGTATACATGATTTCTTAATCTTTAGGCAAACTTTTTTTTAATTAAGGAAAATCCCCCAAAAAGGGAAACATTACACTTTGACCGTTGTAAATTTCTATATTTTATTTGTACTTACCTACTTATTGTTGAAAACAAATTATATTATTATAATCATCCTACTTTGGTGATTAAAAAAATACGGAGCTTATTAGTCCATAAAACGGACTAAACTAATTTTTACACTGTGTTTTTTAATATTATCTAGAAAATTATCTAGAACATTATCTAGAAAATTGTTCATGAACTAAAATGTTATATAGCAGTGTATAATTTATTTCATAATTTATAATACATAACGGAAATGGGTATTTTTAAAACAGATATTTATTATACGTGTATCATGTATGGAATTATGATGTCATATGTATTGAGAGTGCCAAATGTCGACCAACGACTACGGAATATAAATTTTATTATTTTGAATCAAAAACAAAACGATTTATAAAAACTTTTTTGACATATTCGTGCCAGGTCGAATTCCGTGCCAAATCAAAACTTATTTCAACTCTTTGGAAAGTATAGATATATTTTTATTTCGCACTCTTGCAACTTGTAACTCTCGCAACTTGATTTAAAAAAACAGAAAGCCAAGTTGCATAATCATTGGTGCAACAAATATACTACAGCAGTTGTGAAATGTCTAAAGTTTGTGTTTTGTCAAAAACTCAACGAGTGTGAAGATTTGTTTTTGTTACATGAAGGACCGCACAAAAAGTACCTATTATAACAACTATACTATGAATACTCTGCAAAAATTATTTTGGGAAATCAATAATGAGTGAATCTTTCACCTGATATTTTGACGATATTACTTTTATACCTATAACCTACTACTTACTCGTCTAAAAATAATCATATTTAAAAATTATACATTTCATTAAATTGATATTGTTATTGTGAATTAATAACACATGAGTGTAAGAAACTTGCGTGTTTTATGAAAACTATTCAGATAATTAATAAATAATAAATATTTAATTACTTCGAATAATCTTATTATTTTATGAAATATGCTTCTTGAGTAGTTTTTTATAGTCAAAGTAAATGAACGCATTTTTTAATTAAGTTTTTTGAGAAGACGGTCTGTTTGTTTATTCCTAGTTTTATTCGAACATAAAAGGACGTGTGTCACTTATTACTATATTACTGGCATAGTATACTTGTATAATATATTATAAGTATTCTCTGTTCTAATTTATAGCCGTTATAAAGTTAAACAAATAACCTTAAATGGAAACACATAGAGGTTTAATTCGAAAATCAAAAAAAAATACGCTAGTTCAATAGGTAATGTAATTATATTATTTCCGCCGCGATCTGACCTGAGTTATTATAATTTTATGACAGTTCGACCAACAATTCTGCACGCTGAGCGTTCATTGGTTATGCGTAGGTTTCTTCGTCTCTCATTTAGTTATTTATAATATTTTTCATCGCATTCCGAAATGTCAGTTATTTCGTTGACGTCGTTGACCATTCACGTGTACAATTTAAATACATATATAATACACGTGCTCATAGGTTTAGCGAGGGATGATGAGGGCGAATAAGTGTAGGCGAGGAAGAATATAACGCGAACATTTGGCATAATTAATGACCGTTCCAATTGTCCTTGCCCACGGTGAGAGAACGAGTGGATAGCGGTTGCTACCAGAGTTTCGCATATAAATTTAACGTTCTCTCCCTCTCTCGCTTTGGGCGTGTGGGCAAATTGTGCGCCATGTGTATTTGTGTGTGTGTGTGTGTGTAGAATTGTCAACACGCAGTGGAATGTTAATGTTTGCGCAACCTCCCTCGGCTCTCGAGGCGGCGAACGTCCAGTCGAGTACTCAAAACTCCATTGCAAACATATTATAATGGTGTGACTCTTCTTCGTCCATCGGCAATGCTGTTTTCCACGGTCGGGGAATTCGGTAACATTTTGTGACATCGATGTGTGTTCATTGACCAATAACCCCGATTCGATTAATTAGTGCTTTGTGTCTGGCCCGGGTGAAACTTAATTTGATACACGGGTGGTTTTCATACGGTACCGACATTCGTTACAGATACCAACGTAACAATTATAATATTTTACCACACCCTAACAAAACGACACGAAGAGTACATAAAACATCAGTTCGAAACAGCTCAAAATTGTATCAACTTAATATATTACTCTGTACAAGTTTAGGTGTTGGTAAATCATTATTTTTAAAGTTCGATACTGTTTGAAAATTATTTAATATTGCTAAAATGTTATATAAAATAATATTTCTATATTTCAAATGTTGAAAAATTACCACTAACCTCCGCGGTTTACAGCTGGTATGTAAATTCTATATAAAATAAAAAACTCTAAAGCTATTTTTATATCTTGTATAACAGACTGTCTACACTCTACACGTATATAAATATGTAGACTGTGAAAGTTTCGATTCGTTGTAGAAGTTATTACTAGGATAGAGCTTAATTTTAAGTATATATAATGTTGTGAGCTAGTATATTTATATTACTTTGAATTGCTAAAATGTTATTTCGCGCCCTTTGGCTGCATCGGTTTTCGTTCATGTTACTCCCCCTCTTATCGACCAATGCAATAAATACCTCCTAATATGAAATTGCCTGACAAATTCACACACATAACAATACATTTACACACGGGTTATTTGCATGATCAAGGCCGTTGAAATCGGATGTTTTTTTCTCTCTCAAAACGGCTGGAAATGACAGTGTAGTCTTATAAACCATCGATTGTGCATTTCCTTGCCGCAGGCGTGAGACCGGTTAAGGGGAGAGGACAGAGTGCGGAAAAGTTATACGCGTGGCGGTGTATCTCGTGTATGTGTAACATCTGTTCCCCGGAAGTTTCTCATTCGCGCGCTAAAGAAGAAGTTGTGGAAAAATCTAAACATTTTCCTCTTGCAACGCCACTAAACTACGCTGGCCTTTATTAATATTCGCGTTACGAACAAGTGAATTTTCCGGAGGGTTTAGCCAAACGGCGATTTTAAGTACGTGTGCGTTTTACGCGATTTTCAGGACTGATCGTTTTTAGTGCAAAGCTTGAGCGCCATGCTTGTAGTTCTATGGTACTTTTTTATAAGCCGCATACGGCCCGGGGAAAATGTACCGCCGGTGAAATCACGTCGACAATCCCCGGTGCCAGTACTTTGACGCCGGCAGAGTGGAGTGCAGACAGAAATTTTGCTCTATTTTTCCGATTTTGTTATGATAATAATGTCGTAACCGTGTCCCTAATGGCCGACGGTAGCGGCGTGAAGCCAACGCGATTTCCCGTCGCGATAAAGAATAAATAGGTCCCCCCAACCCAGGTTCAACACTAACTGCTTACCTCCACCCGCGGCCAAAGCATCTCCCTATCTAATAAATCACTCTCTAATGTCATCCGTTTTGCATACGACACCACTAGGATCTTCCCCGTTCCGGCTCGCGTTCAGAGCGACGTGAACGTTATACATATAAATGCATATACTATTTATTATGTATTTAGCATTATGTGTGTGTGTATATATTTACAAACAACAATGTAGTTTCCACACAATTTCGGGAGGTATGATCGGTGGCGTACCAAGAATCTCATACTATGGGAAGATACTATGGTAGGAAGTAGACCGCGTTAAGAGGAGGTCACGGGGGTTATTATTTGGCCAATTTCACCCGCCAGCGCCTTCGGTTAATCTCATAAGGCCGATGGCCGTACGCAATAATAGAGAATCACTGGAGTTCGACTGATGTTGGCGCTACTGTAAACATATGCCCACAGCAAGAGGGGTAGGAGTAGGGGTAAGGATATTCAAAAATTATTTTATTAAATTTATGGTCGACCGACTGAAAGTGGAGCGTATAATATTATGCAATATGAAAGTATTGCCGAGGAAAATATCAATAACCGTAAAACATATCGGATGAACAGAGCCTCGCAAAACTTTAGGGTAAAGAGTGTAATTTCGGAAGTATCATATATTTTTTAATACGCCCGTCGTCGACGTATGTTCCATAAATGTGTTTATTTAGAATGGCGTGTATGGCTCAAAAACAATTTATCAAAGAGGAACGCCGTTGAAATATTACAAAAAGTGTTACATTTTAGTCAACGGAGCCATACGTAATTTTATACATTTTGTTACCATTAGAGTTATTAACATATTATATTATAACACCGATATGGTAATGCATAACTTTAGTTAGGTGTAGAATCCAAAAACGGCGATTGGAAATAGTTTTTTTTCCCTAAATGGTCGTAGTATCTAATTTTTTTACTGGTTATTAACTAAGTACTTAGTACTGTAGAATATAAAAATATATATTTTTCATTTTAACCTTTTTTTTTTTTACTACTCTAACTGCTACATCAAAGTTGATTGGTGAACTACTGTTATTTTACCTTTATTATTATCATTTACATTTTAATTTAATTTTGATGTCATAAAAAAAAATCTCAAAAGGAAATTATGTACATTCCATTAAAGTGTACTGCCCAATTCGTAATTACAGTATGTTGGTACCCTAGCCCCTTATATTTAAGCATTATTAAATAGGTTTTTTTGTATGAAATTTAACTCTACAAACCAGGTTAACCCGCGAAATCAGCATACAAATATATAATACAGTCTAAGTAAACGAAATATATAAATATTTTACCTCGAATTCCAGTTACATCGACATGACTTATCAATGAATTAGAAGAAGAACTGAGTTAACTCAGTTAAGAGTATCCATACATCAATACATGGATATGTCCTGATATCTGCATGAAGTGTAGATACTCTTAACTGAAATTACTCAGTTTTCTTGAAACCGTTCTTTAAACGGTAGCAACGTTAAAATATGATAGTATTGTCTCAATTTTATGTTGGAGCCAAATGTGTTTTAGTAGTTTTTTAATATTTAGCCTTAATCGGTTTATTGGTAACATTCACCTGGTCAGTTATTTCGGATAAATTTAACCATTCATTTAATTGTGCTCGTTGTGAATACATCATAATTTAAATAAAATTTAGCAATCGATACTCAAGTACCGATGGAATCGAAAAAATGTACTAGGCAAAAGACTAATAATAAACTTATTTTTCTAATAAAAAATATGACGTTACATTTCTAAAAAACTTGTTTTGGCTATATATATATAGCCAAAACAAGTTTATATATATATATTGATAATTTTCGTTAATTGGATTAAGGTATGTGAGATATTATGATAGTATGGTATAGTATAGTATTGTCTTAATTTTATGTTTTTCCTTAATCCTCCTCCACAATCCTTCCATTATCTTCCTCCATAATCCCTCCATCCTCCCAATATGACACTTACCATTTTGCTCAAAACGGGACGGACAACAGACAAATTTTCAGAATAACTCCCAGCCATTAGACATAATCATGTGAAAAAAATAGGCATTGATATAAAAACTACGACATTTTATAATTGGAGTGAGTGTAAGCTATTATTACAAATATATTTTATTGATTTTTTACTATTTGTTATCTATTTTTTATTCTCTAATATATACATGAAATATGTTATTTTTCTATTTATTTTAGGCAAATTAGTTCGAATAAAATGTTTTTAAGCAAATAAAACACATTTATTTAATAGACAAAAAAATTCATGATAATAAACCATTAACTACACTAGTCGAAGTTAACATGAACAGTCATTCTTAAGTTTGTATTATAAACTTACAAGATAATAATAATAATAGCTATCCATAACGTGAGATGATAATGATTATGATATAATGCAAAAGCTACTGGTTAGTGGTTTAATAATGAAGATAATCGTAAGACCACTGGACTTCCTTATTGTATTCTAGTCAAATGAACATTTAAATGGGTTGCATGATCAAATTCATCTTTTCAGCTGATTAACGATTGCAGAGAGAGTGGGAGAGAGAAAGAGCATCTGTCTTCGATTGCCAGATGTCTTTTGAAGCGAGTAGGATACGGTTAATTGGAAAACGGCCATGTCTGTCTGAAACTTGTGTAAAATACTGCTCGCCCTGTACAAATAGAGCTTACGTGTTCATTGTACCGAGTAATTTACATGAAGACTTTCTAATTTGCAGCTTGTGTGGTAAAGAGCTGAATAAAACGAAAGAGAAAAGAGTTCGCGTTTATCGATTTTAGTATCTTTTTTGTTAACACACTTCTCTTGTTAAACTTACTTTGCCTATGTGTATACGCAGTTTGCTTTGTATAATTTTGTTTAATATAATGTTTGTATAATATATTTATTAATTGGTATGTTTAAGTTGTATTCAGCTATGTTGACTTTAAAATTATTCTAATTCTTTTGAAGACTGTAAACCTATAGACCGTTCAATACTAAAAAAGTTCTATATATACGTTACTGTTAAAGTTTCAACATTTAATAGAGCTCTAAAAAATGTATAGTTTTAGTCATTTTATCATTTTGTTAAATGTTTTTAGAAAGAATAATTACAAAATTGTAATTATTGCAAGAGAACATGAGTGTCTTATGTTAAATTGATCACCCTGTAAAATGAATTAAATTATTTGGACAAAAATAACATTCGTTTTTATTATTTATTGGTGGTTACTATTTTTATGGAAGTTGTTTAACAGCAATGCCCGGTCACCCGTGACCGTAGTGAGTTTTAAAATACTCCCAACTAGTTAATCTTATTAAGAACCGATTTGACTCCACGTATACCCTTTTGTGCAACAATTTAAAGTTATAGCCATACTCGTATTGTTGTTCGCATTGTATTATTTTTAAATAGCTCACTTTACATTTATTAATTTAACTTTGTTTGTTTTAGAGATTGGAATGGCATTCGACTGACGTTGACTACAAGATGTGTTTGGTTAAAGGCAAAGATGAGGTATGTCTAAATGGTTTATATTTTAATTAAATAAACTTAAGTAAATGAAATGAAGTTCACTTTAAGAATTTTTTTTATTTTTTCTTATTATCCTAGCTATATTATAATTTAACGGTACAATTTCTATTGAATAGTGTTTTTATACAGAAATGAGCTTAGGTACGGTATTAAATATTATGTTTTAAATGTTTTGAAGTTGTTATTTGGAGAATTCCGAGTAAAATAAATAAGGTCACCGAAATCCTATTTTCCTCGAGTATAAGTTGACCTTTTTTTCGTGTTGTAACGCCGAAACATAGTTTTAAGTGTAAACTTAAACATTATTGTTGCCATGGGTAGGAAAAAAATGAATTTATAGTAATTTATATAATTGCCATTACATGTAGGCCAAATGTCTCATATATAAATTGTATAGATTAGAAAGGAACAATATTGGACATAATTCTTTAAAGTTTAATTCTTTAATTATAAATTTAAAGGAATTATCCTCCAGAGTTTTTTTCATGATATATACGGTTTTCAATGTGTCAAAACTTTCATAGATTCAACTATTAGTTTGATCATTTTTGATCATCTATGTTGTCATTCGTCAGCTAACGAATGACAATAGGCATAGATCTGAAAATTATCAAACTATAAGTACATGGTTATGTTATTTCATTTATTTAGAAATAGGACTATTACATTTAGCACTGTACAGTGTACACAGTACATAATATCATATTTGTCTATAATATAGCGTAATTATTTTTGCATACTTTGTTTATGTACAATATTATTACGTAAGTTATGTATTTGAACATGGGCATTTATACGTTGTAGTCTGTAATTCAATATTATTATAGTAAATAGTTTATAATTATTATCTAATACTTATTGTAATTTGGCCAATTAAAAAAACCTTATGGCTAATAATATCATAGAAATGATAGTCAATATCATAATTCGCTAGAAATGAAAAAAAAAGAAAACCCGTATTAAGTTACCGAACTGGTTTAATGTATTTATTGTTGTTTTATATTTCAGTTTCGTTGTAAAAATAAAAAAAAAATAGAAATTTGTTTACTAATTACTCATATAGCAATAGAGTAGGGTTTTTTTTAAATTTCCTAATGGCCCTGGTAAATGACGACGGGACGATCATTTCAATTGTTATTATTTACTTTCCGTCGAGGGTCTCTCCATTCTCCAATTGTTTACTAAGCACTTAGCCAACTTCAATACACAGTATCGGGATTCGGGATTGTTATCTGACCGATCATAGTTTATTGATTTATGGCGGGACTATTAAACTTTAAATAGACCATTTTAAAAGTTTTCACATTTGCTCCCCTCTTCAGTATTTTCAAAAGTTTTTTCTCGCGTGTAAGAGCGAAATCTGCTACATTAGTCTAAAGATGAAAAACATGTCAAAAACTGTTCAGCTATTCGTTCGGGTATCACATAAACGTGGCCGATTTTTTCACCCCCCCCCCCCCTATTCCCGTTTCGCTCCGTCTCTGACAGTATTATCATTAAAGACACCCGGCAACGCTTATGAGAAAGATGGTGTCACCTCCGAGTATTGACGATCAATCAACACACAAAATACCACGCCTCCACCACGGTGGACTCCTGCGGACGTTTACACGGGAAGGGGAGGGGAGATATTTTAAAAGTTTAATAAGACGTGATATTGAGCTTTTTCCACGAAGACAGGTGGGATTAGTATGTTGCGTAAAAAAAGATAGTCATCTATCACCATAGTGTCTCGAACACGATCATTACCTCCCTATACCGAGCCTGACTTTTTTTACTTGCACATCTTATGAAAGCACAGTCGTTAAAATAATATTTATTAATAATATTTAAAATCATAAATTGACACTAACGCCGGATAAAAAACATAATACGTGACAGAATGATCTGGCATTAATTTCCAACGGTAAATTGTTTCACCCCTTCCGAATGAGGTATTTGTAATAATTTGACATTATAAAACAATATTTGGCATTTTTAAAGTGACGATCCTTTCAAGAAAGGTCAGCGTAACCTAACCAGAAAGTCAATATCAATATATTCAATATATGGTATGACTATATGGATTTGTTAGGTCATATATTATTCGGTAAAAGTGCAATAAGAATATTAAACATTTTTTTTAAATAACATTTTGTAACCCAAAAAAAATCGGGGTGTTCTAAAGGCACCGACCCAATAGTAAAAATGGCCCCAAAAGCTAAAAAAAAACCGGTAGGTTAGGTTAAATTAGGTACCTATTATGTTTGTCATAGAACCGGTTATAATCATACTGACGTACTACTACAAGTTATAATATGTGATCAATTTTAATCTTTATAAATCAAACTAGTAATAATTACATGTTATATCTCAAAGTGAATGGACGAAGCAAACGTTATTGAATATTTCGTTATTTTTATAATTTGTCAGGAAAATCTCTTTTTAGGGATTTATTATTATTTACTTTGTTGATTTTCGTTTATGGTCGAAGGCTACACGTTATTTATGTGTGCAATAAACTTTTGATGTTATACTTGCTGCTAACACGGCGGTTTAAATAGGCAAATGTGATACATGCGAGCGTACCCATGCTCAATATTTATAGAGGCTACGGAATTCCTTTGATAATATTATATGTTATGCTTATGAAAAAGTTGCTACATGCTTTGAGGAGCGTAACACGATATTATAATATTATACCGCGTTGAATACATAGCTTTCGTAATGGTTTGTGGTTGAAAAATAATATTTTAACCCGTATGTATGTATTGGGTACATACATACTGGTTAAAATATTATTTTTCCCGTTTATAGAGGTATAAATAGGTACCCCTATTTACTCATTCACTATACACATATTAGTTGTGATGCATATAAACTTTAGTGGGCGCCACACAAATTTACTTGTTTTCGTGATTATAACTTCAGTTTTGGATGATCCGCGTTTCCTTTTAATAAAATCGAATAGACTGTTAAATTATTTAAAAGTTTACATAACTTATTATATTTTCCAAGGTCTTTACATTTGGGAAATGACTATATAAACTAACGCGTGCATGATATTTTGGTACTTGGGGTTCTATTTATTCTTAGCTACGATGCGAAACTAAGAAGGTCCTTTGATATTTAATTAAAAATAATAATATAATTTTTTTGATACCTATTTAAAACATACATTATATATATATATATATATATTTATACACAGTATACATTTTGTAGGTTAAAATAGGATTTAATTTAATGATAATTTCCAGTTCGGCGGACTTATTATGAAGCAAACGTTTAGCAAATGCGCGCTGCAATTAGTTTGTAAATGGCTAGACATAAAATAAAACGAAATCAAGCTAGGTCGTTTACATGGATGAAAGTCATATTATTGTACGCTGTATAGGCTCAGGTATTTAACGAGGGTTATTTGCATTCTGTTTACTGATAGTGTTGTTGTTTATCATTCAGTTTGTGGGTAGTTTTTAATGTAACGAGAAATAGTGTGATGGGGAGAGGGCCGATAAGAAAGAAAGAGCCATTTTTTTTTCTTTTGTGGGGAATGAAGGGATTATTTTCTTTTTTACCGTGCCATTTGCGCTTTTTCTTCTTTAATCATTTTTCCTTCCTATTCGGCGGAGTAGAAAGAAAACGATCTGGTTGATAAATTGCCGTCGACCAAAAACAAACGTTTAATCTGCATTGTTACATACTATTATCTTTTTCTTTTAATGAATATAATTTAAAATGAAATAAATAACTAAAAATAAACCCCGCTGTAAAGAAGTTATAAAATAAAAAAATTGTTCAAAACACTTAAGTTCTTTTAAAATATTATGACGTTTATAAAAATTAAATGTTTTAAAAATTATAGTGCACTCGACAACCGCAATATCCAATTTCGATTAGATTCATTGATCTAGCTTTTTGCATTATTTTAGCGATAATAATTTTAGCTTAGAACACTCATGGAAATTCACAGATTCTTTTAGTTTTTATTTCATTAAAATTAGTTCAGCAGTAGGTATAAAACGTAAACTTACATACACCATAGCCCCCCTTCTTCCGCAGTCGGGTAAAAATATATAGTATACAATACCCAAAAATGTTTGTTTGCGGTTGTTATGATGTTATTTTTACTAAGCAATTTACTATAATCATTATTTAATGACCACGCTTTATCGAGTATATTTAATTACAATAATGTATACATTTTTTTTTTTATATTGTTTTAAATTTACTAAAAATGTACTTAGGAAACCTAGTATATAGTCTTCATAGAACATAGTTTCACATAATGACTTGGTAATGTTTACTGGCTGCAACAAAAAACAAAGCACGCTAGTTATCAAAAAAAGGTATAACTCGTAGCGTTTAGTGTAATTATTATTTAAATGTCAATAGTCCCAACTTTACATATACTTGTTTTTGTATTTTCCCCTTTTAGCTTTGGTATATGTATTTTAAATCTGTTTTTAATTTTTCTCGTGAAATCCCTTTGGTGGAGACACGCAACTACAAAAAAATAAAATTATATTTATATATAAAGAAAGAAGTAAAAACAAAACCGTAGTGACAAGGAACTAGTCCCGAGGGAGTCGTTTTGAGACTTGTTTTATGCGCGAATTCTGCTGCCGTTATTTGTTAGCACAATCATTTATGACTGTATACGTAATACATACAGATATATATATATATATATATATATATAATATGTAACCTGAATAATAGTGCTAATAATAATAACAAATAACGATAATAATAGTAATAAAGTATAATAATAGTAATAATGATAAAGACAGTAAAAGACGCCTCTATTCGTTTAGCGAAACGATCTCGACAGCATTAACGTTACCGTATATGAAGGTAAAATAGAGCTTGTATCTAATAAAAGAGGTTTAAACGTTCCTATTTATAATTTGGCCAACCAAACGACGAGTCTACATGTATTGTACAATTTTTCACTGTTATTTGTTACTACCCATATATGACGAGGGGCGTTATTGCGGACCTTGGTTATAATATTTTACAGGTTATCATATTGATTCCGCTGAACAAAGGCAAGCAATAATAAAATATAATTCAATAAATTATATTTATCACTAGCAGCACCAATTTACTATTTATGTACTATACATATATCTTATAAAAGTTATAATTATCAATTTTAATTGGAAATTGCAAGAAATTACTCCGTGGGTAATACAAAAAATATTCACTGATTTTTAAAAACTATTTTTTTTTACCCTAAGGTCGACTGCAAAATTTTTGGAATTTATAACTTCTTGGATTTTAACATTTTATAATTGATTAGGAATGTTAAAGCACCCATGGGTAGTTTTTGATTTTTTATTAAATTATCAAGTTAAGTAATAGCTAAATAATTATGAATTTATTAACATTTCTGTATTATTTATACCGATATGAAAAAAGAAATAATATTTAAAACTTAAAAGTATATATTATATCAAAATATTATTGTTAACAAATTTTAATGTTTTTCTCTGTTTCTTGTAAAGTGCTTAAGTTCATTTTTGGAGAAATGTACGGTGCGTAATTTCTTACTAGATTACTTAAATGATGACCATCGTTTGGTATTTATCCTCTGTATTGGCTATTATAATAACTGCAGACAATTGTTTGAGGATAGGATAATTTTTGAAGAATAGTCGGCTGGATTGAAACAATTATATTTTAGTGAAAAATGGTTGGTTAGTACGAAAAGTATCAGCGGTAAACGCATAAAAGTTATCGTGCTTATATTCATTATTAATTATTATTATTATTAACGTCGGTTAAAATGTATTCACGTATTAGATAAGTAATAAGACTTATCTCTGTCTCTGTTTATTTATATATATAGTATATAAATGTATTAGAGTGGTCCTCTAAAGTAGAATATTACTTTTAATCCATGCTCTATAAGTGTTGGAGTTTAAATGAAATTGAACAGAGGTATCGACACTTGTACACAAAATTATTGCATAACTTTTTGCCTACTCCATTGTTTGAGCTGAAACTTTGATGTATATGTAGCTTAAAGTCTTCAGCAGACTCTTAGACTAGATAAGGTGTTCGAGTTCAGCACACACACACCTTACACAATCATTTACACCTATCAAAACGTTGCCAAAGTATTAAATTTAACGGAAAATAGGGGTTTTTCGGTAATTTTTTTTTGATATTAAATGTACCTGGGAGTTGTCGCTTAGGTCAAATACGGAATAACCAAGTTCAATGTATCATAACTTTTGGTAACATAGTGCGCAAAGATGAATAGACTCAACTTGCTCATATTACCCAGACAAGCGGTTTTCATTAAAAAAAAAAAAACTATATAATAAAAAACATTAATACTTTTTTTTAGGAATATACAAAGATGGCTAAATACTTACAACATTTAAAGTGTTTAGTTGGTTATTTAGTTGTAGGTACGTCAGAACCTTTCGTGTAAAATTGGGTGGGTATAGCGAGGACAAATTATGTAGGGTAGGAAGTTTTGGGTCAAATGTTCATAAAACCGGAACCCCGCTGTCAAGAAATGGTCGAAACGTCATCAATAAGTTTCAGCCACACAAAGCACCATCAATCACTTACTCTAGGAAAACCAGACGTGACCAGAAAATCTGCCATACCTCTCCCTTGTTCTCTCTCTTGTCAAAAAGAAACCCCAAGGGGTTGATTTGGAAGTGACAGGACGGGAAGAACAATGTAGTAAAGTAGTAGGTACGAGGTATAATACAGCAAGATAAGATAATTGCATGAAAATTGAACTATAATTAACTATAGTTTTTACACACTGGTAATGTAAGTCAAAACATAATAATAATATATGCATTAGCTGTAATTTAGTTGTAGCAGATGTATAAATAATATAATATAAAATCCTGAATTTTAAAATGAATATGTATAATAGGTGATACCCGTTTTTATAAAATTCATAAAAAATAAACCTACCAAGCTGTCAAAGTATATTAAAATTTAAAATGTTTTATCATCCACAGTATTAATAAATGTAATATTATCAATATTAAAAAAGTGCTACACAAACAAATTCAATGGAAATGTAATGCACAAATTAACAACACTTAAGTTTAATAGTACACATAATGCAAATTATGCAAGCATAAAAAATATAACCTCAGAATTGACGTTTGTACTACTTACACAAATTATTTGAATATACAATAAACAAATAATAAATACCTTTTAAAACTAAATGGTTTAACTGTGTGGAACGTTAAAATATAATGTGTGCCCTCTCCTTTCCTGACAAAATTAGAGCTCAAATTAACTATGACTTTAGTCGGGCTTCAAGGAACCCTTGCCAATCGGTTCAGTGGTTAAGCCGCGAAAAAGTAACAAACAAATACACTCACTGGAGTTTATTTAACATTTATTGTAACATTTGGGTTTCGCTGATCTCAAAGTCTAAAACATCCACGCTCAATATATGATTTTATTTTATTTTTATAAAATTGAAAATTAACATTTATTTAGCCATTATATCATCATAGTTAATATACTATTTACGCAATATCGTTATAAAATATTATGCAACTCTTATTGTTTTTTTATTGTACATTTACTTAATAGGATTCTGTTGACTTTAATAATTCAAAAATTATTTTCAGGATAACTGTCAGAATTACATTAGAGTGCTAGCGAAAATGACTTCTGGCCGGCTTCTAGTTTGCGGCACGAACTCTTATAAACCTCTTTGCCGGGATTACTCCATTGATGTAAGCTATTTTTGAACATTTTGTAAATAGGTATTTTGTTTTAACCTTGTATGCTATTTGATTTACAGCCCGGAAGTTATTCTTTAGGCAAAGAAAGTCCTGGTCAAGCCGTATGTCCTTACGATCCAAAACATAACAGTACCTACGTGTATGTCGGTAAGTGTAGAACAATTTAATCTGACATCTGACACATAATGTGGCTTTTTTTAAATTATTATTTCCAAACATTTTAGTGACGGTCTAACAGTAAACATTTTCTTATCGTTTTTCGTATCAAACAAAAACAGTATTTATTCTCACCTTTGCGTCGAAGCTAAAGAACTTAAAACAATCTAATATCGAATACACTAATAAATAACTATGAGAATTATGTATTAATATATATTGTGTTGTACACAACAATATTGATCTGTTCTATATTAAGTCAATTACTTTTAAAAAATATTTACTCCGACCATGGTATATTGTTCTAATGGAATATTAAATCCGTACGCATCATTACTTTAAACGCTATTAAAATATACCCATGTTTTATCTACCTTTTTTATTGGGGTATTCAGTAAATTGTGTAACGTGCTTATACTAATCCTTGGGACGTGCAATGGACTGTATTATGTTATTTTTTCATTCGCAGATGGAAATCTTTTTTCTGCCACGGTGGCCGACTTCTCCAGTATGGATCCGATAATTTACAAAGAACAACTTCAAACCGAACAGTACGATTCTTTAAGTCTCAACGGTAAGATCAATACGCTATGCTTTTTTCTCCCATTTTTTTCCTGTATAAATATACAGACAAAAATTGTTTATTGTATTCCAACACAATGACGATATCTTAATCTTACACGACGCTTACAAATTGTCTTTTTTTTCAGCTCCGCATTTCGTGCATTCTTTTGCTCATGGCGATTTCGTCTACTTCTTCTTTCGCGAGACTGCTGTCGAATATATAAACTGCGGAAAAGTGAGTTATTATTGGTTTTTCTACGTCTATTTACCCTTCGTGTGCGCATTAGCCTTCTGAACGCGTCCAACCGGTAGTGACCCGAGAAATGGCGGTATTTTTTTCTTTTTCTAGTGGGTTTTTTTTTTTGTCGGCATTCGATTGTTGTAACAAATTACCCGCCGCTGAACTCTTGACGTGCCAGATGTTCAACATAATATATAAATCGGTCATTTTCGATTATTATTCTACAGCCAAGGGCCGTTTACCGTTTCCTCCGACGAATTTGACAGTAAAAAACGTCAAGAAGGTTGGCGGCCGCGGCGCGGTGTGTGTCGTACGGCTAGCAATTTCATAACAGACCGCGATTTGTCTTTCGAGTAAAACGCCCCGCCCCTCGCCTTATCCTTGTATTGTATCGGCTGGCACACACACTGTGTATCGGAAGTAGGGGTGGGTATTTTATTAAGAAACTGCTGCGAACATCGGCTTCGGGGTTTGTCGCGAGTTACGGAAAATTGTAATGGAAATTCGGTTTAGCCGTCTCCAAACGGCGACATGACATGTTTTCGTCCGAGACACGTTTTTCGCAAACATGATTTTCCCATAAACGCCACGAGGCTGAGTTGAAGTAACTCGATGATGCGCTCGTCTGGAGGTCCTACATGCGTATATCAACCCACACAAGAACATTAATATGTATACACATATATACCTATGTATATACACATTCACTATGTACTACGTTTACTCGTTTTACTACTGAAGCGCCCGGGGAGGAAGCACCGTATAAAGTCTGTGCCGGAGAGGTGGTGTGCGTTAACTGAAAAAAAAAATCATTTCTTTAAAATAAAGTTTTCCAGATTCTCTGCGTTTGATAGGCCATTCCCTGTATTGCGCGACAACGTTGTCAGTCTGGATAAGGCTATTTGAAAACATAAGATAGAAAAAAAAACAAATGTACTCTATAAGTTTCGAATTTTCAATTCACTGAAAATTGTCTATTACATCAGAAATATGTCGTCGGATCGTTTTTTACGTGACTCTAGATTGTGACAAATAGCATATATTTATTTACATCGTTATTAAAATTATTGCCTTATCGATTTATTTACATAGTTTTCAATTCAAGCGGATTGCAAACTAAATTATTACAAATACCGTTTTAATTCTAGTAATAATTTTAACCGTAAACGTTATTGTATGACTAAATGAGTAGCAAGTTTTGAACGTTCTTTAAAATAAAATCAATTAAACCTTAATTTTTCAACATTTTGATGAATATATGTAGGGGATTGTCATGAACGAAATTTGAAAAATAACTTTCATCATGTAAAAAATAAGATAAAAATCCCTCTTTTCGTTGAAAATCATTTTTTTTTTCACGAGCAAGTAACCTTAAAATCCGAATGCATAATGTTGTACGGCAGTTTGAAATTTTAAACTTAATATTATTCATTTAGTGGTTTAGTTTAAATTGTTTTTAAAAACGCTAGTTAAAAAAAAAATGGAACATTTTCTGTTTTTTATTATTATAGCAGTTGTCCAAAAAAAATTTGAATTTTTAATAATAGTCAAATAACCAACCTAATTGCTTTAACTCATTTAACATGAATTGACCCAAAAGGTTTTTGATTTGAATAAAAATAATACTACATTTATCCAAATGGATCGTCCAAATACAAGATCTAAACAAAGTTTTTTTATTTAAGTTGCTAACTCACATCGTTACCGCGGTGTCTAAACACGCTCGTTTAATCACATATAAAACAAATGGTTTTTAAATGCAAATTTTCTTTAACAGATCTAGAGGAGGTCTTGTACCGTATATATTATATATATATGTGTGTGTATGTGTAATCTGCTTTCGTGCGTCTTCGGCTGTACAGTTCTAACAAAAACGGTTTGCTTAATAATTTATTACTGTCCTACTGACAAAAAGGTATCTACATCTACACACTCTCGCCTATTAGTCATAATAATAATAGTATACTTTTTAATTTACAACTAACGCAAATAAAACCATCTGGTTACTTCATCTGGCAATACTCTTAAATTATATAATATTCGTTGTGGTTATATTTCACAATTAAATAACAACTGACATTGCAGCGTCATATTTGACATTTTCTGCGAACTGTGCTTTGTCAATTGTCAAGGCCGATATATATATATATATATATCACATAGGTGTTTAAGCTCTTTCTATGCTCTTACATACTTAGAGTACCTTTTGTCCCTTTTATTTTTTTTTTTATAATTTTAACGGTTTCAACGACAAAATGGCTACCGACCATTAGAATGGAACGAAGGTTTTCCAAGGTATATAGACCCTATTTTGATCTTATAATAAAATGTACCGCAAACGTAATATATCATAGTGTTTTCATATCGATATATTATATTATTATACCTTTACTTTGCCTCGGGTCAAAAAGTAATACCAATCTCTCATTCGATAACTGTTGTAAATATAGTAAATACAATTAAATTCGTCATTTTCCATAAGGGCGTGTTATTTATGTACAACTTCAAATTACTGGCAAATAAATAAGTTTATAACAAAGAGCCGAGTTCACATTTAGTTAACAACTTTTGGCAAATAAGCGTTCGTATTGGTGTGTTCCAAGATGACTATTTTGTTTTTTTAATTAAATCTGTGTACACACGAGTGTTTAGTTAAATTCACATAATTAATGTATTTCCACACAGAACGTTTTCTCTCGGGTTGCCAGAGTGTGCAAAAACGACCGCGGTGGACCGCAACAGCTCAAAAACCGATGGACCTCCTACTTAAAATCTCGTCTCAACTGTTCTGTTCCCGGCGAGTTTCCGTTTTACTTCAACGAAATACGTAAGTACTTTTTATATAATACACCACAATTTTGTTAAAATAAGTTCATCATCCGTTATAACCGCAAACTTGATTTAGTCGCGTTTGACCTACTTATACAGTTAAACTTTTATTCGTATATATATATATATATATTATATATATATATATATATATATATATATATATATATATATATATTATGTATATAAAATATGATAGCTTTTAAGATATGACAGAAGTAAAAGATTTTAAATTGTATTTGCATAATATAATGAGTTGAGAAGAAGCTCGCGTGCTAAACTGTTTCCGTTTTATTTTATCGAGTTGAAGTTTCATTTAGAAACTTTTTTTTCAACTTCTTTTTAATTATGATCGATAACAAAAATATTAAATAAATAAAAATGCTACATATTTTTTTTGTCAGAAATAATCATTTTTTAGTATAATCTTACAATTTTTGTAATACAAGGTTGGTATAATATATTATTATTTAATCGGAGGTCGCGGGTCTACAAGAATTATTACTATTGAAAGTGACAAAATCGTTTAAAATCGACAATAATGTGCTTAAAATTGAATTTTTAGTGGATACGGTTAGGGTTGATTGTTCGTCTATAATAATTTATTGCCGTCATTAACTATATATGGTAATTAAAACATAATATAACTATTTTCCGATGCCTGTTGACTGTTGATTCACTTTCACATAGCAAACTGTAATATTTCCCCTTTCTTTGGTTTTCCATTGTTTTTTTTTTATTATTATCATATAACTAACTTGTTGTGCGTTTCTTAAATATTTGTTATTTTTGCTAATGTAAAAATAAAATTGGAATTATCAAACTAAGGTAGCAGAAGAGTGTGGCAGCTCATTCTTTGCGAGCGAGCAAGTGAGCCTTTTGGAAGTTTAAAAAACACTTTTTTCGTTACCAAAAAATGTACATAATTACTTGGTTCAAATTTTATTTTGTTTCTTTAAAATATACTTATTTTAGAAAAGCTTAATTCTATTTGATAATACCACTGCCAGCTTTTTTATATACGTTGCACTTAAAGGACAAGACGCATTTCGATAAGGTTCATAAAGTTGTTGCCGGATTCGAAAACGGTTATTAATCTTTTTTCGTTTTCGGTATCACAAAGAAGCCAATTAAACGGATTGCAGACAATAATAACGAATTGTGTTTGTGTCTCGTATTTTGTACTTATCTCGGGGGAGCAGTTATGTATCGACCGAGTTGATTGGAAAATAAATGTTTATAGAATGACAATAAAGTTATTTGCATTATTGTATGGTACAATAGTATATAAGAATTTATTTGCTCGAAGCACGGTAATAATGATATGATCGTTTGACGTGATTTTATTAAGAAGAAAAAAAGTCAAGTTTAGAGTGTCCCGGGGTTAAAGAAAAAACAACCGGAAACGTAATTTTTTCGAAATTATTTTTCACATCGTGTTTTCTTCTCCACTGTCTTTAAAAAAAAAAAAAAGAACTGACGGCAAAATGTTCTATTTATTCCCCCTAAACTAATTATTATTTTTCATTTTCCTTCTACTACCAAGGGAAAAGTCGGCCTTTGCCATTATGAAACGAATAAAATACTTAGGGACCCATAAAGAGAGAAAAAGATATGAGGTTTGAGCCGCGCAAAAATTATTCGAGCACATTAAAGGTTACCGGCTTACGCAAAGTTTTAATTATAAAACCACTTTTGCCTCGCGGAGTTACTTTCTTTCTCGCTCGTTCTACCCCTGTTTTTCTCCCACTAAACACACGCTAGCGCACTTTTTCATTATTTCGAACGACAGCCTAACCCCAAAAACTCACAAATGGATTGTTAATCTTTTTTTCATTTTATTAAGATTGAATAACAATATGAATGATGATCATAACCAGTTGACGTAATAATTTTATATTTTTTGACGCCCTATATAACATTTTGAATAAACACACGTCTGTTTATTTATTATATATCTTGACGTTACTTGAAACATATTATCTATATTTGTATAACTAAAACTAGTAATAATTTTGACAACGAAAACTTGTAGTCTAGCATTAGAAAAATCAAGCTCAAAGTTTACATCCATATGGCGTTTTCATTTGGAGGTTAGGTGATTTGCTACCAGTTCGCAGAAAATTATGAATAATTCACTTATATAATTTCTTTACCAGCAAATAAAATGGACAGTTTGTAGTTTAGTTGACTACAACTTTGTGGACTTTGTAAAAATGTCACTCATACCCCTTGTGTTCTAGGCGCCTCATATATAATTATAGATGTACACGAATCAGGTTTAACGTTTCACATGACTAATAATAATCAGTTAAGTGAAATAATTGTATGAGTTTTATAAATTGTTCATTATGGCGTATTATTAAGTATTATATAGGTAACTTATTAAAATAATAATTATATTTTATAATAATAGTTATGGTTACTAGTCAGTTAACGGTCTTAAATAATTACTCTAACTAATATATTTTAGTATTTAATGTTAAAAGCGCATTAACAGTTTAGCTTACGGATAAAAATAATACAGCAATCTGCAATTCCCCTAGATTGTGTTAAAAAAATGTAAGTTCTAGAAATATTCAACACCCTGTGTTTTTATTTGAAACGTTTTTTTTTAAGTTTCTATAAAACGAATACATTTTATTTTAAAAAAAATATGTATAATATATATATATATAATACATGTACACATGTAGCAAACAAGGGACAAACTTTTGATTATTTATAAAAAAACAAGTTTTTTTTTAATAAACGGACTGTTATTAGAAATTTTATTATAAACATAACAAAGGTTCGATCACGGTTTTGGTTTCACAAAGATGTGATGTACATTTTTTTATAAGTCTAAAACCGCTAAGCAATAATCTAGTTACCAGTACAATTTACAGTTTAATCGATTACACAACTTATCTACAGTCGTAACTTTCTGAACAGTTTCCAAAGTACATACAAACAGTGTCGTGGTTTGCTGTGCCCAGAGTTAGACTGTATTCGGATAAAATGTTATCTAAGTATTACATTACATTGGTATAAATAAATAATATATCAGCTATTTTATGTTTGCTAGTTGGGGTTTAGAATATAAAAAAAAATACACAACAACCATTCAGCGTCGACTCCCTCCTCACCCCGATAGGTTGAATTGTATTTTTTTTTTTGTATTTGCCTCTCATGTAACGTTTACCACGGGTTTCAGAATCTGCCACGGACCTCGTGCAAGGTAATTACGGCGGTAAACCTTATCAAATGATGTATGGTGTGTTCACGACACCCGTCAACAGCATCACGGGATCGGCGGTTTGCGCCTTCTCGTTGGCAGACGTCCTGGATTCGTTCGAGGGAGAGTTCAAGGAACAGAACTATATGAACTCCAATTGGCTACCCGTCCCCGGTTCTAAGGTGCCCGACCCTAGGCCGGGTCAGTGCGCCAACGACTCCAGAACTCTTCCCGACCTCACACTCAACTTCATCAAAAGCCACTCGCTCATGGACGAAGCCGTTCGGTCGTTCTACAGGCAACCCATCATAATCCGCACCAGTGTCAAGTGAGTGTACCCATATAATCGGAGATTGGGCTAATTTTTATTTTCGACTAATAATTATATATAATATGCTCCGTCCGTTGTTGTGTTTTGATCGATACCAGTTTTAAAAAACAAATTCATATTTCAGTTACAGGTTTACGGTCATAGCCGTCGATCCCCAAGTGAAAGCCATCGACGGCAAAACCTACGACGTGCTCTTCATCGGCACAGGTAATACTACATTGCTAAAATTGCGTTATTGACGCCCTAATATCACAAAAACAACGCATGTTTCCGTTGTGTTCCCCCCATAACGATCTGGATAGATGTACGACGGTCTGTAGGCTTTCGAATGTTTCACCCTCGTCATGGGAACTTGCGTTTTTTGTTCTGTGATCTATGTATACTAGTGTTTTATGTATACTATCCGGTTTCGTTCGTTTGACGTTTATGTGTCGACAATCATTACAGATAGCGGAAAAGTGTTGAAAGCTATTAACGCGGCCAGTGCGGACAGCACGGAAAAAGTCAGTCCGGTTGTCATTGAAGAGCTCTACGAATTCGGTGGTCCCGGAACAACGGCGGCTGTGAGAAATATAAGACTCGAAGGCAAAAGACTGTTGGTCGTTACTGACAGACAAGTGGTGTCTCTTCCACTCGACAGATGTCAAAATCCACTCATAGCCACTTGCAGGTTGTTAAAAGAATAAAAAAAAAAACCTTACATAACACGTTTTTTTGTATATGTATATATATATATACTTGTTTATAATGCGTTTATTACTGCTTACAACTTGGCGAATGCCATGGAAACGCACAGAAAATGACTTCAAATTTATATACATTTTTTTTTTTTATTCTATAAATACCAACATCGATATCTTGAAATGTCATACAATCACGTAACGATACAAATAACACGAATACAGACAAAGACAGTTCAAGGCTGCAATACATTTTTTTTTTAAAAATCAAATTATTTTAAAATAGATTTTTACATTAAAATGTATAGAGTTATTGCGTTTGGTATATTGATTAAAAAATATTACAGTTTTAATAATATTTAGTATAGTACTAAATTCTGGACTAATTTGTTGTTCTAATACATCATTTTTGTTTTTATCTGTGTTTATTTTTTTAAACTCAAAACTTAATCAGTGAACCCGTTTTTGTTTAGTGAATGCATTGGACTTCAAGATCCGTACTGTGCATGGGACAAAGTAAACAAGAAATGTCGTTCAATGCGAGAAATACCTTCCAGTCGTTGGCACGAATTTTACCAGAGCATTCAAAGTGGCATGCATCATGAATGTCCTTCAGGTAAGACTTTTAGAGTTGTTAAATACAAAACTTGAGTTAGACTGTAAACACTGTGTTATTATTTTAGGTCTTAGCCGTAAAGACATATTTTCTTCAAACGCTCAAAGTGGAACTATTGGCAAATCTTTTGAAGACATTAGCGACACTAATACAATAAACCTTTCACAAGATGATCAAGCTTCTTCATTTGGTAAGCAAAAGCTATGAAATGAGAATAAATGTCTTGTTGTTCTTACTAATAATTCCAAAATTGTATCTAGTTGACTAGTTTATGAAGAAACCACTGTACAATAGAGGAATGGAAATTAGGATATTAATGGGTTCTAATCCTTCAATATTGAATTTAATCCTAATTTATGATAGTTCATCGACTTTCATTTTATAATATATATATATATGTATAAATTAAAATAACAATACCATTGTTTAGGATACAATATCGTTAAATTCATCAGTTGGCTCGTACTAATTATTAGTATCATAATTGCTCTGCTGTATAGAATAGTTCCATTATTGTTACTTTAGCTGAGTTTTAGCTTCTAATTTGCATATAATCGGTTTTGTTATAGGCACAGACAACGATGGCGTCAGAGTAGATGAACGACAAGAAGGAGGTTATACCATCGAGACAATATTGACTGCTGTTTTTGCCGCTTGTTTAGCTGCATTATTAGCAGGATTTTTGGCAGGTTATGCATGTGCTCGACGATGCGCAAAAAGCGAAGACGATAATTTACCATATCCAGACACTGAATATGAATATTTTGAACAACGGCACAACATGAACGCGTTAGTATAACAGAAATTATTTAAATTTGATTGCTGTGTTTATTTTCAAGCATTGTTTTTTACTAATTAACTAATGTATTACAGAAGAAGATTGGGTGAACCTAAACTACTCCCGCAAGAAGAAGTCACCTATGCCGAACCCGTGCTTATACCGCCTAATAAGGTAATACACGGATCACCCAAAGCCACATTGAGACATACACCGATGCCGCCAATGGGTTTTACTCAATTCCAACCAAATAATGCTCAGGACAGTTACTATTCTCAACAACAGAATATTAGGGATCACTTCGGAACACTCAGGTCTCAGAGAGAACATAAAGTAAGAAATGACTTTTCATAAAAAATCACAACTAATAATTAATTAATTAATAGTATAACAGTTGGTGGCTAACTATGATTTATTAGATTTTTAAATATACTTTTACTTGGACGTGTTAGTTGTTATTGAAATGTTATGTTTTTTCGTAGAATGATGGAAGCAACTATCGGGATGGCTTTGGTACGACTAGAAGTGTGAAAAAAGTGTACCTCTGAGGTGCGTCGGAGGGGAGGGCCAGATCGCGTCAACATAACGCGAACGCTAGTAGCTCATCATCGCCTTCCCCTCCGAGCTCATCGCCATCACCACCGGCATCCCCTTCAGTGGCCGCACGTATTACTCCGCAACCACCATTACAACAGCAGCAGCAGCAGCAGCAACAACAACAACAACAACAACAACAACAACAACAACCTCCATGCAGTTTTATTTATAGGGCTGGTGTATAATTTGTTAATTAAAGTACACTATTTTTGTTTGTTTTGGTTTTTTACTATTATTATTATTACTTAGCGTCGATTCATGTCCATGAAAGTAACACCGAGACTAGGGAGTTAGCTGATATTGGTTTTGATGTTGTTTGTTGCTACATGTATCAGACATGTTTATATTTTAACTATACTATCGACCTTAGAATGAGCATTTTAGATGGCTGTAAACAAAATTGTTCAAGAGTTTAACAGTAGAAATATTTATTAACAATTATCATAACACAAGAAACATTTGTGTTTATATTTTGACATAGTAATTAACTATAAGACATTTTTTTTAGATCGCTGCAAACTTTTTCCAATAATATAAAAATGTGATAGTTATTTTAATGCCTTTATTTATTATTAATATAATCTCATTCTCATTTAGATTACGACTTGCACGCTATAATAAGGAATTTTTTTTATTTATAAAATGTAATTTATACATGTTTGTTATCATTTATCCTTTTGCCAATTTTGTCTCGTCATATTATTATTTATTTAGATATCTTTCATTTATTAGGACTGAAGTCTTATCGCCAAGTGTTTTTTCTCTAATAATTTCTCAGTAATTTTAATTAATAAAAACAAAATAATTTAAGTTATTATTATTATTAATATTAGTTAATAAACTCAACATCCATGTAAATATAATCATGAGTTTTGTTTAGCCCTTTTCTTTGCTTTTTTTTTTACTTTTGTATTCATAGGCGGAAGATTTGTCTAAATTAATCAATATAAACATACATATTTTTTTTTAGTAATTTTACATTGGCAACAAAATAATTATTTACATTGTATGTTTATTAATTAGAACTACTTATTATTGCCTATTTATTTTTGATAGCTTTTCTTTAAATATGTTTTAAACTATTAAAGTTTAATATCCATTATAAATGTATACTAATGTATGTTATTAATTATTTATATATTATATTATATTTCGCTTTTATTAATTTATTATATATTTTAAACAATGTCTTTTTTACATTCATTTTTAAATATAAAATTTAGAATTATGAAATAAAAAATACATTTAATACATAGACACCAAAAATAATATTAATAATTTAAAAAAATATCAGTCTTTGTGATAGTATAAATGTAATTCAATTTTCATTTAACCTTGCATCAAAACAATTTTTTCATTTAATTCAAGTATTTTATTTTGAAATTCTATTCATATCTTTTATAATAGCTGTACTAATATTATTATTGGCCCAGCACATTATTGTATTGTAAAAGAATTTTTTCTCATACCTATTACATCAGCTTCTGTGTTTAATTTTAGAAGCATATTTTTTTTTTAAAATTTAATATCTCTAACCAAGTAAATTCGTTTGCACATTTTAGCTGTATTTTGAATACTGTCTTCCATCAAAGTAGATATATATTTTATGTCGCACATTTGGAACTTCGATCAAAATGTTAACACAATTTTTAACACCTAGTAGACTCCTTTATTAAATTATTATATTTTATTGTACATCATCGAATTTGAATTATATATATATATGATATAATATTTTTAAACTTTCAACTAATTGTATTTGTAGGTTATGTAAGTAAATTTTGGTTCACAAAAAAAAATTGTATTTTATTAATTATCTAATTAGGATGATAATTTATTACATTTTTTTGTTTGGACTTAACGACACGCTACATTACCTATTTATTAAATGCTATCACTGAGAGAAATTTATTCTTATAAATTAAAATATAGCACATTTAATTATTATTATTATTATTGTTTATTATAGCGTTAAAATGGCACTATTGCCAAAGTAATTTATGAAGCCATCCAAAGATTGCCTATGTAATAATAAAAAATAAAAATCTGTAAAAACTAAAATTTATATTATTTCATAGTGTTTTAATCTAAGATAAAAATACTAATTAGTCATTTAATTTAAAATTTTTATAACTATTTTGTTTTGATTTTAGTTAAAAGCTGAATTAATTGGTTGATTACGGTACTCGAAATGTTTATTAAACCTGTTAGAAGTTACATAGAAATAAATAAATATGTGGGCTATGTTTGCCACTCGAGATAAACTTTCAAAATTATTGTAACCCATAAAAAAACCTAGAACGTTTTACTTGCCTAAAATGACGACCGAAATGTTAAGACTAGTGCACTTATTTTACAGCCAAACTTATTTTCAATGAAGTATTATTTTGTTGAAATTTAACATTGTAAAAAAACGATACATATATTTGACTGTGCTTAGTTTATTTTTCTATTAAATATCAAACATTATTATGATATGATATTGTCAAACTGAAACTATTCTAATGTTATGTGTAAATTTTAGCGCTAGATAACATTCCATACTTAAAAATAATAATATTAATATTAAAGACGTAGTTGTATACATTTTGTAATTGTTAGTACTTTTATCAATTTATACTTAAAAAAAAAAATTGTTTGTATTTTATACATTTTTTTTTTCTTTTTTATAAATTAATGAATAATAATATGTCTATTTTATTTACATAGCTGAGTAGTTTAACTAAGTTTTTTAATAATTCGTAGAGCTTGGCACTAACTTGTATGGAAAGAGCAATGAGACTAGAATATGCTCAGAGTTAAAAAAAAAAAAAATAATCGCATGCTAAATTTAAAAATTATTGCAAGTTATATATTCGTTTATAGCTATGAGTAAGTTAGCATGTGAAAGTTCCATGTATTTCTATAAATAAACAATTTTTTTAATTGTTATATTTAAGTGAAATAAAACCAAACGTACTGATTGCATACCTAAAATTAATTATGGTTATTATATTGGTTAATAGTTTACAAAAAATAAAACAAATTATATTTAAAAATTAATTTTTGTATTTATTTAAAACAAAATGATATTTTTGTAGTATTCTGCAGAAGAGAATGTCAGAACTGTTTACGACTTAACTCCTAGTTTCCAATCTTCTGTAGTATGTATGTGTTGCTAACCTATACATGTTTATGATAAGGTGTTTTCACTTTGGTTTAAAAAGGAATTATAAGGCGGTTAGTTACTAAAACTGCACCTAATATTTTGGTAATCTGTATGATATATTGGTATTAAACACTTATTACTAATAACAAAAGCATTACATACTTATATTATCTTTATATCAAAATATATTGTAGGCTAATACTAATAATGTATAATAACTGATGATTTGTACCATATCTAAATATTGATAATTGCACTGTAACTGACGTTCAGGATTTTAAAAACACCATAACAAATTGAATGGAAAATTTACCGTAATTGGTATGATTGGTGCATATCATGTTTTACCATTATTTTTTCAACAAAAAAGTTTCAATGCCATATTTGGTTAAAATGATACTTTAAAATACATCTAACAATTTTAAACTTGCTTAAAGTTTAATACCTATTTAATTTGTATTTTATAAAATCAATAACATCACAAAGGGTTGTATAACAAATTATTTAACAAACGGATCTGGATTTTTACACTTTATTTTATGTGAAATCTATCTTTTCATGACTAATATCGTTCTAAAAACAATCTAGGTAAATTTGACGCCAAGCCAACAGTTTGGATTTAACCTATCACCTCTTATAGTAAAATTCCTGGTATACAGTAAAAGGTGAAGTCAACAAAACTTCAAAACCACATGTTTAAAATAAGTTTTATGTTGGCAATATATAGGAAGAAGTAGTTTTAATAAATTTCGCACACGTCAATTAATTTTGAGGTTAATTTGTATGGGCTTCAGGGATATTATTTTTTTAATGTATACAATTTTTTTTTATAAGCAAATACCATTTTGTTGATAAAAAATACTTTTACTGTGACAACATTTTGGGACTTTGGGCGGTCCAATTTCAATTCTGTAAAAGTATATGAATTTTTTGGCCTCTTTACTGGGTTATGTTGAAAACCAATTTTCAATTTTACAGTTTAGTCTCTTGTAATTATATTAATGAAGCCCACTGTTTACTTTTTACCGAGGTTACCATTTTTTGGACCTACCCAATCTCAAAAAAAAATACCTACAAAATTTCTATTGAGTCTTTTTTTACAATGTAAAAACAAATATTTTACAAATTCTATTTTGATATAATAATGTTACCAATTTATTATTCCAAAAGGGTATAATGAGATAAATATTAAAGTAAACGAATTAATAAATGTTAATATAATATTTTAAATTAGACGGAAAGCTAAACATTAATGGTCAAAGTTATCTATAGAGTGTACATCTATAAGCTACACTCAATATACCTATTGACTGTATATTATTGAACAGTTTGAGTTGAGATTTTATTTAGTATTATCCACAAGTGTTTGGGTATTTTTCTAGCCTATACAAAATAGTAAAAATTCCTCGCTTCCGTATATTATGTACATTACTTGTACAATTTATATACCATATCACATATAGCGATAGTGATCTACAGGGCGAATCGAATGACACGTCCTGCCAACATGAAGTATTTTACTCCTTGGCATTCAAATCGTTCTCTGTGGCTGTCAGTATACTTTTGACACAATTCAAAGCTAACACGTATTCTTACTGAATCACCAACTGTACGAGACTGACATAATATTACGAACAATCTTTGTATTAGATTTGATTCTGTAAACTTTCAGAATAATTTGTAGTATATTATTTACGACGGGATTTTTTTTTTTTAGTATTTGAATGATAAGCAAGTTACTCGCTCACTTCAAAAATTCACTAATAACATAAAAAACTGGTATATTGAATGGTATTATGTTTGATGCTATAGGATCTACCTACAATATTAGAAAATCTACCTTCAATTAGAAGAAAAAAAACAATTGTTGCAGTTATAAATTATAAATCAATTATACTTGCAAAGGGTTAGTTAATAATGCAAAATATACTATATGACACGAGATTTTTATTATCGTCATTTAATATGTTATTCGTGCCAAAAAAGATAATAGTTCCTAAGATAATGTTCTTCGTGTTGTTATGTTACCAAAGCACGATACAACTTTGTTTATTAATTAAAAAATCAAACAAATAAGTATATACGTGATCGGTGTCATGATTTAGTCAACTTATCCGTCACAGAAATTTAAAGGTGATAAAAGTTTTATTGTATATTCAAGTAATACTACTTCCATTTGAAGAAACGTTCAAAAGTCGGAGGAAATACACATTTTTGTTTTAACTTTTGATTTAAGCAGCTAGAAATATATTACTGTTATAATTTCAAAGCTCTTTCTAGTTAATAAAAAAAAAAATTATTCCAAGTACATAAATCTGGAAAATTGCAATACATAATATATTTTAGCTTTCTAGATTCCTTAAAAAAAATTTTTTTAAAATAATTATAGCTATATAAATGTAAATCTATAATATATAAGGCCAACAACCACGTATTATGTATGAAATCACAAGTATATTTGTTACTGACTTGTAGATCGTTGTATACATTTTATATCCACACTTAAAAAAAGTCACAGCCTACTTAAGCCTGACGGTTAAAATTATAAAACATGGAACATGCTTTAGCCTGCCGTCTCCTGAATAGTGATCATTATTGATCTATAATCTCCTTGCGATTTATGACGACAGTACAGTCTTAATTATATGTTCTGGCCAAAACGTTTGCATGACGACGACGACTCGTTATTATTTCGATGGCACCTTATATGTTATATGTTACACAGTGTATAATATGAGCGCCGCATCAGAGGCAAAACCCAGAACTGAGAATAAGCGAGACGAGGCCAAAGACACGGTAAGGCAGATATTCAAGAAAGGAAAGAGGGACTAGGCCGTGGTCAACTGGGTGTGTGTAATAGACTATATTTTGTGTCATTTTTTTATGTCGTTTTCGAGCTGGGGCCTGGGAAGCCAAGGCTAAA